GGACGTGATTCGGCTTGTTACCCGGGCGGAAAATGGGTACAGCATTGGGGCAATCACGAGCCTCAAAGGCACTGCAGAAATTGCATCCGAGTTCGAGAGTAAATGCGAGAGGGTTCTCAGAAACCAGGTCGAGTTGGTCGGTGAAAACTTTATTGACACCATCAGTCAATGGTGTGACTATGCGAAGGAACACTTGACAATATTTTCCCTCCCTTTCTTTGACAAGGTTCAAGCTCAACTCGAGAAACATTACACGTGGGCGAAGGAACTTCCTTGGTATTGTAACCAACATGGGACCGTACATGGCCTCAAAGTTCTTAACGATGTCATCGAATGCACCAAGCCAGAGGAAGACTTACCACCCAACGACGAGTTCCTCACCTGCATCTGCAATAACGCCGTTAATCCCCCTCCCCACGGTGGCTCATCTGACGCAGTACAGTGCGATCATTGCGGTGCCAGATTTCATGGTGATTGTGCTAAAAATGGTGGATCGTGTCCTTTCTGTGACCACCACCACTGGAATGGCGCAATTCCGAAGGAAAGGAGTTGGCATTTCTGCTTTTTACCTGCTCTCCTTGCTAGAGCTCCAGAAATAACCCGAAACTACGCCAAGGAGTACAAAGAATTGGAAATCATTGTTCATCGAGTCGATAGGCTATCTGCCAGTATCGGCCATTTCCTAGCCTTTACTTCCCAACCCGCGAATCAACGCCCCGAGTACATTTCACACGTTCGACATTACATGCGTAAACTCTACAAAATCCAGTTTGCGGTTTCCCCAAATCCCGATGTGTCCTTTGGCCTTGACCTTGCGGGACTCCATCGTATCTTGGCCGGTCGACCACTGACTAACGGTGGCTCAATTTCTTCTGGTGGCAGCAGCAAGCGAGTTCGCCGTCCCAAGTTCACCTTCATACTCGATGTTGATCTTGATTGGAATGATGCAACCCGCTGCTTCTGTCGGGGTCAAAGCCATTTCCTTCTGAACAGTCCTGCTATAACATGCGGTCACTGCAAGCGGCGCTACCATACTGATTGTGTCTTCTATCCTCCGTCTTCGAGCCCACAAACGTATCTGTGTCCCCTTTGCTGCTTACGGAAGAACAGAAGTTATGCATATTCTGATATTCGGGTCAGATTAACAGGTGAGATTCTTATCCTCAATTTAATAAATCATGTACTTATAATCCCCGCAGATTCTGCGCCTGAGTCCGATGTTTATGTCAATATACAAGAGATTATTACAACACATAGCAAGGAGATGCTGCTTATCAAAATGCCGACGCCCACGAAGCCAACCTTATTCGTCCATCTTGTCGAATTCCACCCTGGCACGTCGGATGATACTCTCTCATCCAATGGCTCGCACTCGCGCTCATATAGTCATGTTTCATCCTCACATTCTCAGTCAAGGGGTACCCCTCCACTGCCATCCAACGGGAATGGTTCAAGTCATTCAATTTCGATGCGTGGGCCTCCCGCCAATTTCTATACTCCTCAGACATCACATATTCAACCGCCTCCACCACCTTGGTCTTCAAACAACTGGTCGAGGTGGGGGACCGTTTCCACTCCGGCGCAGCCCCCTTCGACGCGGCCTCGTGCTCCTCCTGACGCCTCTCGTTCGCTTGCTCAACCCCTATCGCAGTCTCATGTTTCAAGGAAGCGGAAACACGAAGATATCATTCTCCAACCACCAATCGAAGACCAGTCACGAGCTTCTACCTCTTCCCTTCCTCCACATAAACGAAGAGCCTTACCTTCGTCTGGCTCTGTGACACCGGTTTCACCACCTTCGCGTTCCCTCCCGCCAGTTTCACCTCCACCACATCCTAATCAAAGCCTTTCACCGTCCTTGCGCAAGTTGATGGCAGATCCCACTCCAGATATGCCGTCATCATCTCCTCGGGCACCCTATAGTATACCCCCCATTCGTCAGAACGGAAATGACAGTCGGTCACCTACGTTGCCAAGTGTTACCTCTCTTATGTCGGGCATGCCCTCCAAATGATTCGATATTTACTTTTCGTTGGTTCTTTTTTGTGTTTTCTGTTTTATTCTCTTTGTTTCTGTATGAACTCGTATTGCTCGCTTGCTCTCTTGTCCACGTGTTGTATTAGGGTACACAAGGTGTCATTGACCAGGTAATAATGGTAATTCATGGTGTTATCTAGACCGAATAGTGAACCGAAGTGACAAAACTACCGCTTGACCATGAATCTATATGTAGAATATCCTCCAACGACCGCGAAAGCAGCTAGACAGGCTATAATAGAGATGAACCAGGTATAACCCTAACAAAAGCAAGAATAAGCTAGAGGTTCATCGGAACCAACTCGGAAGACCTACCTCTTCAACATTTTGACCAGGAACGTGGACGTTCATGCCCCAAAGACCTTGTGGAACAAGTCAGATGTTTGTTGCAGAACCAGGATTAAAATAGGTTTACCCGTTATCAAATTCATAGGAATCAGCACCGTACCCAAGGCTGTGAGTTTCGAGAGAACATCGTTGATTTGATTATTAGCATCTGTCATCTCAATGGAGATCTGGGCCAGGTAATTGGAGTGGGAACGGGAAAGAATCTTCTCATAATGGTTCAGGTTCTGTGTCATCGTTATCAAGTGATCCTGAATATCAGATAGATAAAGGCCCTATGTGCAGGATGGTGTGTTAATGCATGATGAAAGACACCGAAGAAGGACGACTCACGATATCCGAGGTGGGCGCCACCCTCCAATTCTCATTACACCTCTTCGCCAACCCCTTTACGACATCCGCTTTATTGCCCATAAGTCTCAATAGGCCCATAACCTTCTTCCGACACGTCCCTATCCTGCGCAACATGTCACTCTGCTCCGCCTCCTTAAGAATCAATACAAGCTCATCAATGCTGTCTACCTCATACTCGATACTCTGGATAAGAGGACCAAAGGCATCTGTGATATCGTCAATGAGCGCGTATGAGATCCAATCCGAGGTGACACTGATATAGTCCTTGAGCTGTTTGATGCGCCGGCGTACGTTTTGTGGGTGTGGAGTTGGTCTAAAGTGGAACTAAAAAAAGATGGACAGCGGTAGAATGTTCCGTCGTGGGTCAGCGCTACGCCTTGATGGGAAAAAAAGCAAAAAAAGCTCATGTACTCACGGATAAGATGCCTTCCCTAAATACGATAATATACATATTGAGCGGTTCGAGGTGGGTGGGGCTGTACGGATCTTGATCAAAGCTTCGGAAACACACGAGATAGTAATTCCGAAAGAGTTCTATTTTTTCTCGTGTTTCTTCCATCAGGATATCTTCCGTTGTCAATGGATGGATGGAGAAGACCTAATTCAGGGGGGCAAGAAATTTAGTGGGACGGCGGGAATGAGTACAAATAGAACTTATGAGCGTACCTTGCTCAGCATTTTCATTTCTTCATCGGTAGGATTCTGGACGTCAAGCCACCACGTGTTACTGTCCGTGTCGTTATCGCCAGCAGGCTGCCCCATTTTTGAGTCCACTCCAAAAGACCTTCGGTTGGGATTGCCGTTGGTAGAAGAGGTAGCTTCAGTAAAGTTAGGAGGGGGGGCTCCTTGGTGATTGCCTAGGCCCATATGAATCGGACTGGACCTGTTAATAGGGTCGGGTGGAGTGAATACAAGGTTACGTGGTCTGTCATTCCGTGGGTCGGAAGCCGTGCCGTCTGAGTTGTTGATGCCTGAGAAGAGCTCTTCGAAGGTCTGACCTTCTGCAGGAAGCTCACTCAGGCTACGAGCATGGATGGTAGCAGATAGAGCATTGGAGTAGAACGAGAATCTATATGGCCGGTCGTGACCTGTATTGAGGATACCTGTGGGAGGAAGGCCGGAGGGACCAGGCATATTGTCGTAAGATTCAGAGGGGTGGCCGCTGAGGACGAAACCGAGACGAGCAGAGAGTGATGCGGGTGGCTCGCCGGAGTTGTTCTCGAAAAGCGCCATCTTGCCACCAATACCCTTTCTATGGATGCGGGGGTTTGGGTTGCTCGTACTGAGCTTGCGATGACGAAGGGCACGCTGGGAACCTGAATCAGGCAGACCCTCCTCCTGCTGACCGTCTTGTCCAGGGATGGGAGGGGAGACTTCGGTAGCAACTGCCTTCCCCCGAATGAAACTAGCAGATGGCCTCACTGCGGTGGGCGAGGTTAATCCAAGTCGTTGTTTTTCTTCCACCGCAAATTCCTCCATCTTTGAAAAATCGAAAGTGGAACGTGAAATGTTTGCCTGGTATGTTGGTAGGCCGAAATTTGAGACGGAGGGTTCCTCATTGCCATTGGGGGAGGTAGACTGCGCCAGGGAGACGAGGAGGTTGGGGTCGTGTGCTTGATGTATGTGTTGAAGATTGGTGATGGAGGGCTGTCTGAGAGGAGCCAAGGTGTCCTCGTCCACAGTATCCCCAGCTACCATGTCTGGAATTGCCTCTGTATCATGTTCGGCGTGAGGTGACAATACGGATATACTTGGAAAGACATGCTCCGGGGAAGGTTGAAGATGAGGGAGCGTAGATTCATACGGAGCAACGGGAGAAGAGATGTGGAGGGTCTCCCTGCGTGCTCGGGACAACTGCATGGCCATGTCTACATCCATAGTACGCTGGCGCTCGCGTACTTCGTTGGGGTCTATAGACCGAGCCCGGGTTGGAGAATGCCTTGCCCGACTTGTGATGTCACTTAGATCGTCAGGAGATCCGCTCCTGCGACGCGTAGGAGACCCGCCGCGAATAGAGATTGGCGAGCTGGAAAGCACTACAGTGTCATGAGGAGGAGACGTCATTGTACGTCGAAGACCTGTCCACTGTGCGCTATCACTACAATGCTCGGGTCAACACGGGGGATCTGCATAACACTATTGACTTACCTGCGTTGTGGATCTATTCAAGGCGCCCTCCCGCTACAACTTAATGATCGCTCCGTCATAAGCCCCAGTCCCGTGTCCCATGGCGTGTTGGTATTACAAATAACTTCGAAATACAAGCCCCTGTTGTCTAATGGTTATGACGTCAGACTTCTAAGGCACTGGCCAGTCCCTGACATCTGGAGGTTGCGGGTTCGAATCCCGCCAGGGGTTAACACATTTCTCTTTTTACCCGCCAATTTGCTGTGATCATCAGTCTTCCGCCCTCCAGAATGATGAGGCATAATCACCTGTGTATTATCAAAAGTGCTTAAATCCTATTGTTGATAATACAAAAGTTGCAGGTATAAATACTAGCAGGTATATGTAAGTGTCTCGGCGCGGGAACAGGTGATTATGGGATACAACAATAGGTATGCTTATAAGCTCATGGCAAAAGAATGTTGGGCGTAGATGAAGTAGATGATCGATGGTCCCGTAAATGGGAAGGAGAAAAATTAGAAAAAGAAAGTAATAACCTGGGAATACTCCACAACGATCAACCCCTATTTTTTCGCCGCCCGCAGCTGAGCCCTCAAATTCGTGTTCTCCTCATGCATCGAATTCATCTCCTCGAATAGTGCTGCCCGCTGGCTCTGCTGTGAAACTTTCATGTCTTCGATCTCAGCCTCCGCCTTCTCCAGCTGTTTCTTGAGTTCGGTGATTTGCGCCTCGAGTTGTTTCTTAACCATCTCAGGTGCAGAAGCCGCCTCTTGTGCGAGTGTGAGTGTTTGCGCGGAGAGCGTGTTATTGGATTCTGTTAGCTGTCTGCATGTTTCCGCTTGCTCCGCTGCGAGGGATTCTATCTCGTGTTTTTCGGCTGTTAAGCGCTCGATAGTATCATGAAGAAGCTGTAGCTCTTCTTGCCTGTGAAATACAGTAAGCATCGTCGACGGATGCATATAATAAACAAACACCCACAGAGCAGAGATTTTCGTGTTTGACACCGAGTTCCTCTCTTCCAAAATCCTCACCTGCTTTTGATAGGTCTCCATCGCCGCATTTCCATCTTGTGCCAACTTCTGCGCCCTCTCCGCATTCTTCTTCAACAAATCATGCGCCTGCGCGAACCTTATCAACCTCTCAATTAACGCTTTATCATCCGCAACAAGGGCTTGCACTCGTTGCGCAAATGCTTCTATACTGAAGCCGCCTTGCATCGATGTTGGTGTGCGTGGCGAGTTAGGCCCGCCATCGCGGCTGCCATTATATAGGCCCTTGAGAGTCCGAACGTCGAGATCGGAGAGGGAGCCGGTCTGGCCACTGCTGGAGGAGGCGGGTGAACCTGTGCGATACGCACGGGAACCGGTCCCGAACTTGGCTGCACGGGCATCTGGTGAGGGGAGGACGGCCCAAATGGGCTGGAGGATAGCAATGATTTTGTTGACATCGGTGTCTGCACCAAGGGAAAACTCAGGGAGGATAGGTTTGTGTTGAACGATAGGCGATGACCGAGCTGAACCCTACAAGCTATTGAGTTAATTCTTATTGCATTGAAGGAAATGAACCTTACCTGGAGTGACCTCGTTTCTCTCTTTGCAAAGTCACGCTGCCGTTTCGCGTCCTCAAGCTCCTTAGCCATGGATTCCTGCATGTCGAGCCCTGCCTTGATGTCCCCTTCCAACTTCCTCTTCGTAGCGCTCCATTCCGCTTCAACCTGCTTATATCCCTCCAGTTTCGAATGTACGGTTCCCAGATGTGACCCAACAGCATCCAATAATGCCTTGAGTGATGTCTCTCTTGTGAAAAGCACGATGTCATGCTCTCTAATCAAGCGCTGTAGCGCTCCCACTCCTTCATCTAGCTCGTAGGTTGCCTTCTGCAGAGCAGCCTCATCTTCGCCTCGCATCTCCATCTCCTCTCTTAGCCTCTGCAAATCATCACCTTTATTCTGTTGCCATTCCTCCCTCTCCTTGGCCCACTCAGCTCTCTCCATCTCCCATTGCTGCCGCAGCTCTTGTACTTCATGATCTCTTTGCTCGAGCTGCCGTTGGCTCTCTTCCTTAGCTTCTGCCAACAGTTTCTCCGCACCTGCAGCTTCACCACGTCGCGTTTCGAGGTCCGCTATTCGTGCTTGCAGAATCTCCACCTGTCTACTCCGCTCCTCCAACTCCGCTCTCTCTTCCTCCCACTCCTCTTTTTCTTGCAATAGTTCCTGGACCTCCGCATCCAAACCCTCCAACCTTGGCAATTCCTTCTCCAAAGCTAAAATTGTCTCCTCCGCTGTCTGAAGCTCAAGGCTCATCATCGTCTCAGCCTTCTGCTTCTCCAGCCGTACCAAGGATAACTCTCTCGTCAACTCCGCCTGTTGTTGACTTGCAGCGGACAATGTTTCCGCTGTAGCTCTGAGCTTGGCCTCCAGCGACAATATTTCCGTAGCTGCACCTTCGGCCGAAAGTAGTTTCTTAGGAACAATAGCGTCGGCATGTCCGGCGAAAAAGTGCGCTCCGTCGAACCTGGGCTTTGAGGACGCTATTGATGCCCCTGTGACTGACGTATTTGGGCTGATCATGGTGCTTCGGTTGGAGTCGTAACCAGAATCGTACGACGAGGCGACGGGAGCCATCTTCTTCTCCATGTTACGCACGGAGTATGAGAGCACGCTAGCGCGGTGTTCCATGAGTCTTCGGTGCACCTCGTTTGCGCGTTCTGATACACTCCATAGTTCTTTTTGCGCTGCGTCAACCCGTCGGTTGGCGGCTTCAAGTTGTTCCTCGGTTTTCTTAGATATTTGTTTGTGGGAACCATTGACTTTGGAGAGCGAGATTGCTGCATCACGAATTTTGGTTTCAAGACCCAGTTTCTTTTTTGTTGCACCGAGACGCGCATTGAGGACTTGTTGTTCCTGTTATTCATTCGGTAAATTCATCAGCACATTGTCAAAGCGACAAGTTGTCGATCACACGCACCTTCTTGAGGTCTTCGATCTCCTCTGAACTAAGAACAGTGAATTCACGAGAATCCACTACAGCTTCGCTAGCCAAAAGACTCATAAGCAATTCATCTCGAGTATTGGAGAACCCAGATGAACGCTTGACTTCGGTATCCAACTTGCTGACTGACTTGCGGGCGACAATTCGATGTTGCATCACTGGTGATGAAGGGCCTGATCTAGAACCACCGCGTATACTCGAACGAGATGATGACGAGTGTTGCTTATTCTGTGCTTGGGATAATGATTTGGAATGAGAACCCGAACCGTTCAACGGTCGGGTAGCAGAGTATGGGCTACCAATAGTCACTTCCTCCTCAGGTGGAGGCGGCTGTCGGCTCTTTTCCTTCTTCCCCAGAAACAATGCCGCTGTAGACTGAAAAGTTTCACCAAGAGGAAGTTGCTTGGTGGACGTGGACGGGGACCCTGGGGGCCAATTTGGTGTGGGGTTGTTTTTGACAAAAGCGAGAGGAACAGTAGGACTAGACTGTGAAAGAGGCGAGTCCTTGTCAGGCGAGGGAGGTGACGTGCCAGTCGCCGCTCCCAGGAGCCTGCGGACGCCGTTCATGGGGTATCCTAGGAGTAGGTGGTAGTAGTGAAGAAAGAGCTGAGCTGGGAAACCTAACCCGAGCGCTTACTACCCTTAAATTATAACTCTGAGCATGATCCTCTGAACATGTCCTTCACCTTCAACTGGCCCCGCTTTTCAGACCAGTTCCACCACGATGCCATCCAGATGCTCAATACCGCTCTCAACAAGGGCAACAAGCCCCCAATCATCGCAGACAAGATAGAGGTCGTTGAGCTTGAAATGGGTACTCAGGTCTGCCGCTCTTGCTATTCTATTTCCTAATACTAACCCTCGGCCTTTTCAGCCACCAGAACTAGAGATCCGCGATATTGGAGACCTTACTGTAGACCAGTTTCGGGGCATATTTCGTCTCACATATTCTGGAGATGCCCATCTCGTCCTCAAAACCAAGGTCCAGGTATGACCCCTGTTGCTGCTCTCAAAGCGTTGCATAGCAATAAAACTATTCTACCAAAGGCCAATCCCTTGAACCACAAGCAACCCGACATACATCTCATGGCAGGCTCACGCGGCATGCTTGCAGCACAGCAGCCACTCGTCGTCCCCATGCTCCTGCGCCTCTCCCACTTTCGTCTCAGTTCCTACGTCGTCCTCGTCGTCTCGAAACAAAAGGGTATCACTCTCGTATTCAAGACAGACCCTCTACAGAATGTCGACATCAACAGCACATTCGATTCTATTGCTGTCATCCAGAAATTTATTCAACGCGAGATCGAGGGTCAACTTCGCCAAATGTTTCGTGAAGATCTTCCAGGAATCATCCACCGTCTCAGTCAGCAATGGGTCAAGGCCAAAGTCGAGGCGCCATACCTTGACAAGGGACAGCCACCGGCGACGCCGTCAAGACACCAGCCCTTCGAGACTATGTCCACCCCCGATCTGACAGGCGCAGGAGTTGGACTGCACCCCCACCTCGCACGTGCACACTCACTGGGGACACCAAGCATCAAGAGACCACGCTCCATCGCTGGTGATTCCGTAGCAGGTCACAGTCGCCGAGCCAACGCAACCAAATCGGCCGGTGCAAACTCAACTTCCCCTCAAACATTATCCCCTGACCCGGCTTCTCACGGCGAACACGAAAACTTTGATCCTACATACGGTCTCCGTCCCGAAGGTCTCCCGACTAAGAGTGGCTTCAAGGGGTTCAGCAGCCTATTTACCCCCAATAAGGGTCTCGCGGATCTAACCGAGGAGCCAAACAGTGACGAAGATGACATTTACGAAGATGATGGCGCGTCGACTTCCTTTGACGTCGTTGAATGGGAAGATACAGTTCCAGATATCAGCCCGCCTCCGAGCGTCTATGCTGAACGCGGTAACACGCCCGAATATGAGACTATACCTGCAGTCGGTGGTGGCATGATCACACGACCAAGAGTTCTTCATTCACAATCAACCATCCAACCACCCCCTGGCATCGCGCCTCGCTTATCACATTCCTCCTCCCGTTCGCAAGGTAGCATCCGCTCAGGTGCCATAACACCTAGCATTCTCACCCGCCATCACTCTGGGTCCTCGTACCTACCCGACCCGTATTCAACACATGATCCCTCTAGAACTGCACCTTTCTATCACGCATCACGACCACGAACTCCTGATAGCGTCGCCTCAAGCACAAGTGGCGAACACTATTCACACCCAATGACG